TAGCTGGTGGTGCTGCTTGGTAGCTGCTGCTTGGTAGCTGCTGCTGCTGCTGCTTGGTAGCTGGTGGTGCTGCTTGGTAGCTGCTGCTTGGTAGCTGCTGCTGCTGCTGCTGCTGCTGCTGCTGCTGCTTGGTAGCTGGTGGTGCTGCTTGGTAGCTGGTGGTGCTGCTTGGTAGCTGCTGCTTGGTAGCTGCTGCTTGGTAGCTGCTGCTGCTGCTGCTGCTGCTGCTTGGTAGCTGCTGTTGCTGCTGCTGCTTGGTAGCTTCTGTTGCTGGTGCTGCTGCTTGGTAGCTGCTGTTGCTGCTGCTGCTTGGTAGTTGTAGCTGCTGCTGCTGCTGCTGTTGATGCTGCTGCTGCTTGGTAGCTGCTGCTGATGCTGCTGCTGCTTGGTAGCTGCTGCTGCTGCTACTGCTGCTGCTGCTGCTGCTGCCTTTGCTGCCTTTGCTGCTGCTGCTGCTGCTGGCTTTGCTGCTGCTTTGCTGCTGCTTTGCTGCTGCTGCTTTGCTGCTGCTTTGCTGCTGCTTTGCTGCTGCTGCTGCTGCTGCTTTGCTGCTGCTGCTGCTGCTTGGCTGTTGCTGCTTGGCTGCTGCTGCTGCTTGGCTGCTGTTGCTTGGCTGCTGCTGCTGCTGCTTGGCTGCTGGTGCTGCTGCTTGGCTGCTGCTTGGCTGCTGCTTGGCTGCTGCTGCTGCTGCTGCTGCTTCTGCTGCTGCTGCTGCTTGGCTGCTGCTGCTGCTGCTGCTGCTTGGCTGCTGCTGCTGCTGCCGCTGCTGCTTGGTAGCTGCTCCTGCTGCTGCTGCTGCTTGGTAGCTGCTCCTGCTGCTGCTGCTGGGTAGCTGGTGCTGCTGCTTGCTAGCTACTCCTGCTGCTGCTTCTGCTGCTGCTTGGTAGCTTCTGCTCGCTGCCGCTGCCGCTGTTGGTTACAGTTATTGTTGTTGTGGCTGTTGCTGCTGCTGCTGCAGCGGTTGCTGGGGTGGTTGTGTGTTGCCATGTGTTGGCTGTGTTGGGGTCGTATTGGGGGGGCGCTGTTGGCACTCTCCTTTTCCCTTGGCCATGGCATGTTGCGATTCCCGGCCTGGCTTTTGCTGCCTAAAGAGCCCCAGCGTTGTTTATTTGCCTAGCTTTCGCCACCCCCCTCTGGGCCACAAGTAAGATTCCGGCGCTCTATGTAGCATATGTTGCGGCATTCTATCTGGCAGTCTGGCATGTGTCCTGGCACTCTACGTGGCAAATTTGTCGGCGCTCTATTTGGCACACTCTGGCATTCTATCTGGCATGTTTTCTGTCAAATATATATATATATTTGCGGCATTCTTTCTATCTGCTTCAGGTCCGGTGGTGGCCACTGAGATCGACCGCTCGCGGTTGAGGTCCGGCGGCGCCCACTGCGATCTAAAGCGCTCACGGTCCAGCGGTGCCCCACAGCGATCGAGCAGTCGCAGTTGAGGTCCGGTGGCCCCCTACTGCACTACATATTATAACGTGCAGTTCCCACTGTAATCTAGCGCTCGCGATTTGGGCCCGGTGGCGCCCACTGCGATCGAGCACTCACGGTTGAGGCCCGGTGCCCATTGCGATCTAGCGCTTGCGGTTGAGGCCCAGTGGTGCCCACTGCGAGCTGGCGCTCGCGGTTGAAGCCCGCCTCTTGGAGCACACCACCAAGAGCACCACCAACACCCTAGACCGCCACAATCACCACCAAGACAACCAAGACCACCGCCTAGACCGCCACAATCACCACCAACACCGCCACAATCGCCACCAAGACCACTGGGGCCACCAAGACGACCAAGACCACTTAGACCACGGAGACCACCAAGACCGAACCACCAAGACCACCAAGGCCACCGGGACCACCAAGAGCACCACCAACACCGCCACAATCACAACCAAGACCACTGGGACCACCAAGACCACCAAGGCCACCGGCACCCCCAAGACCAACAAGAGTAGACCGCCACAATCACCACCAAGACCACCAAGAGCACCTCCAACATTCCACATATTACTGTACAGTAATAGATTGTAATGGATAGTGCTTTTGAGAATAGATAGTGTAATTGATCTCAGTACCAAATAAATTCCGCCGCGAATATGCAATTAAGCTGACCGTATGTTTAAGTCGTATATTGATTCCGCGTGTTTTAAAAACAGCCGGGCTGGCAAAAACCTTGCCGGAGGTAGTCTAGAATACCTGTTCATTTGTGTAAAAATCGTATTTTTAAAAAGCGACGCCGTAGGTATTAAGTAATAGACCTAAAGAGACCAGAACAGCAACGCAAAAAACATGTTGCTTGTGGGATAATGAGCACCCTCATTTTCTGTTCATGGAAAATGGCCCTGGCGTTGAATCCCCCGAAGTCAGGTAGAGGCTAAGAAAAACAAAACCAAAAAAACAACACTGAAATAGAATAACTTTTCATGGCTCTACGTCCTAACTGGCCCTGGTTCCCCAACGACATACTCAAATGAGGCCCACAATAGCACCCACCACGGTAATTGAATTGAATTTTGAGTCACGTTGTCCTTTTTATGCGCGTTCAAGAAGCACTTTCGCGAATGTGATGTCATTTTGTATAGTTGCAAAATGGAAAGCAAAGGCAATCGGCGTCGAGCGTCAGCAAAACGATGTTTTTCAAAGTTTGGTTCCGCAACCCGTTTCGGCATTTTTTGCATGCGTGTTGTTTCTGTTTCGCGGGTCGTATTGTTTTTGCGAGTTGTAACTGTTTGCTATTTTTTGCATTTTTGTATTTTGTATATTATTTGTATTTGTGTATTGTCTTTGTTTGGTTTTTTTATGTGGTTTGTATGTGTTTGTATTTTTTTGTGGGTCGCAGTTTTCTATGTTTTTGTAATGTTTTTGGGCGGCTGTCTTGTTTTGAAAAGTAAAAAGAAGAGGTCGTGATTTGTTTCGTATTTAAAAGACATACAAATGTTCAGCCTGGAACTGCGAACCGGCAAAACCCACCGGCAAATTTTGTGACAACCAGCGAAACGCCAAAAGTCAAGCGAGCCAGCTTCCCATCCCACCCATGTCAATGCGTATCAAGTGGCAATTTCCTTGAATATTGCTTGCAGATTCACCTTTTTGGTTTAAAGGTTACATGATTGAAAAAATTCAAAAATCAAAAGCGCATTTACAATACAAAAGTGGAATGTGTATTTTACAGTTGTGTCTTTCTGTATGTTCCCCGCACTTTTAACTATTATACCGGGGAACCAACCCTAACGAAAATCTAAAAAACTTTCATCGTTTCAATGAACGCCCCACCAGGACTTTAAGAGCGAACTAGTCGACAGGGTGGCCCGAAAGCACAGTAGGAGATGACACAAGGTAACGAAGACGACGATGGTGATGATGACGATGATGATGATGATGATGATGACAATATTGATGAGGATCACAAGGCTAGGGCGCTAACGCCAAGATAAAGAACACGGCGCGCCGTGACTAGAGACAACAATGTATCACCAAGCCTCGTTGAAGCCGTCAATCATGCGCTCCCCAGCCCACGCCACGTTTACGCGCGCATGGCTTTCGTTTCCCCATGGCGCGGAGCCGCGCAAACACACTTTCAACCAAGGCCGCGCAAAACTGCACGGCGCAGGGCGCAGAGACATTTCGCGATATATACAACAGTGTAACACCAAACACCCTTGACACCGCCAGGTCACGGCGGAGATGCGAAGCGAGCTCCGTGAATTGTTCGACGTGCACCTTCCCAGCCAAGGGCTCACAGCGGCCAACTTCGCACTTCACCGCACCTCACGTTTGAGCGCTTGACATGCAAAATCTCCGCAAATGGCTCTGACAAAGTTCACGTTTCACCTCACGTCTGCAATGGCAAAGGGCTCTGACAAAATTCACATTTCACCTCACGTTTGAGCACTTGACACGCACGATCTTTGCAAAGAGTCATCATCCCAGGTGCAAGACGACTTATAATCCGGCATTCTATTTTAGAAGAAATGTTTTGAATATTTCAATCAGAAGGTGCAATTTTGCTGGTTTCCACGCAAGGTTTCAACTAGAAGAAAATACATGGCGCAGGAGGTCCTTTGTTGATGTTTTTTGATGCTTTTTGGGCACTCTGAACTCCAATATTTTCTATTTGAACGGTCTTGCCAGAGAAGCAGGATTCCACGATATCTACAGTGAATTCTAGAAGTTTTGGATGATCTTGTCCAAAATTTAGCCGGGACACGCGGTGCAAGTTAAACCCAAAAATCAGAGGACCTAGTGCACCATCCAAGATTTCCAGAATCCTGGTACAAAACGGTAAAAAAAAACTCGAGTTTTTTTAGTTGTTTTTTTCCAGAAGGTCAGATCCACAAGACAGCAGAACAACAAGTGAAGATCAAATAGAAGATACTGCCAAAGCAACCAAGCACATCAAATAGAAGAAATGTATATGTGTTTATTTTGTCGTTAAAAACAGGTCTGGCAATACCTTCTATTTGAAACTGAGTGCAAAGCAGCCTTTTCCTACCCCATGACTCCATCTTCAGAGCTTTGCTCTGAATCATGCCTGCACCAAGCAAACCTTCCCAGTCGGGAACGACTATAGATCTATCTATCGAAATGTCTATCTATTACAGTAGATCTATTTATCAAAGCTTGCATATTTCCAAGAGATGCCATCTGCAGTGAAGATACAACGGACCGGGGAGGAAGAAAACAATCCGCATGGACCAAAATATAGAAGATCCAAAACAAGCATTTCAAACAGAAGATGTACCTCACCGGACAGATTTCAAACAGAAAATATTAGATATTGGGCTATTTAGTGGTCTTTGCAAAAGTAGCTATTTATCATGTTATAACACCTCTTTTACGCTCCGGCGAAGCCCTTTTCTTCTATTTGAAATTATTTTTGGCGCGCGCCGAAAGCAATTTCAAATAGAATATGGAAATTCTGAATATTCGGGAATTTATTCTATCCTTGAGGTTTGGATTATACATATTACCACCGTTTCGCGCATCCGGCGCGCATGATGACGATTGTGATGATGGCTGTGATGGTTGGACAGTTGCAGTTAGCAGGCGTTCTTTACGGAGATCCCTTCGCAGATGTTTTCGGGAACCAGGTACGACATATAAGTTCATGAACCATATCAAGAAAAGATAAGACAAAATAATATAACGTCAAGATATGACACGACCATAAGATTCAAAATTGTCTACAGGAAATTGACAAAATATCTAATTTTAAACTAATGAACAGTGGCTCGAACCTGGGTCGCCCTGAATTCAAGGCGCAAATCCATTGGTTGTAGCACATACACTCACAAAGTCGCAAGGGAACGCCACAAACGGAACATTGGGCCCGGCCCCCCAACGAAACCTTCAGCCATTTGTGGGAAAAGAGAACACGATAGAACCAATGTTTCAGAGTTTCAGGCCATTTGGCTGTGCTAGGAAAAGATTTGAGCATGTGAGGATGTCTTGAGGCCACAGTGGGAGACAGCAAACGCAATGATGCTAGTGCCTTGTCAGAAATGAAATTTGATGTTTTGATGAGTTTATATTCGCGTGAGGGTGCAGTCTTGGCATTGTGCCAAGCGTTGTTTTGGTGCTGACCAAACTTGAGGTGTATGATGTTGCCAATCCTGAGAGCTTCAGTCACCTAGAGGATTGGCACCTCGGATTGCGTAGAAGCAAACTCCCAGAAGAACGCAGAAGAACTCACGCACGGCCAGAGACAATCAAGATTCTTGCATTGTGCCAAGGTATGCTCAATTGAAGTACGCCCGAGGCGAGCCGGCCATTTCAGGTGTCCACACCTCAGAGGCTTCGAGATTCTGGCACACCAAGTTGACGTTTGCCCAGTGGAAGAGCATGGAAGAACTATCATTTTTACGGTTTTGAATCTCGAGGTCGTAATCGCGACGAAAACAGATTTGATGGATCGGCCTGGCTGCATTTCAGTGGAGAAGGCAGCGTCATTGCCCACGTGGGATTATAACAAGCACTGGCTGTGTTTGAGTCCCATTTGTCAGGCAGTGTTTTCGATTGTCGTGCTCGTTTGCCATTTCTGTCTCCCATTGAACTTCAAGCTGCAGCTGCCGGAGTTTGAAGCTTTGGGCAGTTTCCATCAATATCAAGGCTCCTGAAACTAAAGGAGTAGCTACAATACAGATCAATATATATATATATGTGTGTATGATGCAGTTGCTTTAGATTCACCATAACTCAGGGGTAGGGGCATGAGCTGTGCTCCCCTACCTGTGCTGTGCCATTGCGATTTGCTGCCACGTTCCCGGACTCTGCCACATACGGCCTCATCGATTTGGACTTTTTGCTCCTTTGGCACCAATTCTATGACGAAAGTGCATCGCTACTAGTAACAATGGTATTACTACTAGTAACAAGAAGCTACTAGGTGGAGGCCATCGCTATTAGGTTGGTACTAGGAGCAAGGACGCTACTAGGAGCAAAGGGCATTTCTACTAGGGGCTCCTGGCCGTACTACTAGGGGCAAGGACGGTAGTTACTAGGGCGGACTTCTATAACGATGGCTGTGGACCTGTACGCTCAGCCCTCTGGCGTACCACGTCGGAACGGTTTGACACTATTACGCCCACCACTCCGCAAATCTCGCCTACAACTAGAAAGTTTCTTATTTATCTCTCTCTGTCAAGCTATCTGGTGCGCATCTGGGCCCTAGGTTGGGCCAAGTTGAGCCCATGTGGTCTATGTTGGGCACATCTTGGGCCCAAGTTGAGCCTATGTTGGGCCTAGGTTGGCCTACGTTAGGCCTATGTTGGCCTATGTTGGGCCTATGTTGGCCCCATGTTGGCCTTATGTTGAGGCATCTTGGAGGCTATGTTGGGCATATGTTGGGGATATGTTGGCCATCTTGGGCCTATGTTAGGGATATGTTAGGCAACTTATGTGCCCAACACCCACGAAATGTCGATTAAGCTTGTCCACGCGGCGCGCATAACCGACACCACCGGCGCCCTGTTAGACGAAAGTCGCGTCCGCCGAAGGCCGCGAAACACTGTAAAAAACGATGTTTTCCACATCGCGCGCAAAAAACACTAGTAGATAACAAAAAATCTGTCGACCGGATTCGGGCGGGGGTCGACCAGGGGTCGGGCGCACGTCCACCAAAAGGGTCGGCGGCAGGGGCGGCGAGCGTATATCTCATTGCCGTAGGCAGTCTCTCCTCTCCGAAGGAGAGAGTGGAGTCCCGCCCCTGCCGCCGACCCCACAGGAATCGTGTGTTTTACAGTGTTTGCTGCTTCTTCCATTTTTCCGGGTTTGTGGCTCAAGATGGGTCAACATGGCTCAACATAGGCCCAAATAATGCTGGAAATGCGCGCCGCACCGGGGTGCTTCGTCTGCATCGTGGGCGGCTGCTGGGCTAACAACAACAACAACAACAACAGCAGCAGCAACAGCAACAGCAACAGCAACAACAACCACCACCACCACAACCAAAACAACAACAACAACGACGACGACGACGACGACGACAACGACAACCACAACCACAACAACAACAACAACGACAACGACAACCACAACCACAACCACAACCACAACCACAATCACAACCACGACAACAACGACAACAACCACAACAACCACAACAACCACAACCACAACCACAACCACAGGCACACCACCAACAACAACAACAACAACAACACCACCACCACCAACAACAACAACAACAACGCCCCCGTGCCCTTTTTCCCTGCCCCCTCCCCTTTGCTTGGGCCCTGGCCGGCTCTCGGGCGTAAGCCCTTAAATAACCTTCGGTTACCAACCGAAGGCCTCCGGCAAGGGAACGTGCGCGTGGCCGGCGCCCGGATTTAAAGGCTTACGCCTAACAGCCGGGCGCCGGCCCACTTGGGTCTGTGGGGCGTATGTCACGCCTATGTTGGCCTTGGTGGGGCCTATATGGAGCAAAGTTAAGCTAGCTGGTGCGCATCTTCGCCCGAGGTTGGGCCAAGTGGGGCCCATGTGGTGTATGTTGGGCACATCTTGCGCCCAGGTTCAGCCTATGTTGGGCCTATGTTAGGCCTATGTTGGCCTAGGTTGGGCCTATGTTGGCGTATGTTGGCCCCATGTTGGCCTATGTTGGCCCTATGTTGAGCCATCTTGGAGGCTATGTTGGGCATATGTTGGGGATATGTTGGCTATCTTGGGCCTAGGTTGGGGATATGTTAGGCAATTTATGTTGAAAAAATCTTCCGAGACAACTTTTTCCGATTTTTCCTTCCCGCAAAGCAAAAACACTGGAAAAACTCACGTTTTTTGACATCGCCAACATAAAATTCTCGGCTGCCGAGGGGCCCAAAACCCTGTAAAACAGTGTTTTTAATACCTCACACACACGATACACTGTAAATTACAGGGGCATCAGTGAACCGGTGGTCCGCCCGTTTTGGTGACGAGGGTCGGCGGCAGCCAGGGCCAGCGTCTATAACCTTCGGTTACCACCGAAGGCCCTCCGGGCAGGGCACAGGCTTCGTGGCCGGCGCCCGGATTTAAAGGCTTACGCCTAACAGCCGGGCGCCGGCCCACTTGCGTCTGTGTAGGGCTGGGTCGGGCGCACGTTAAGCTATCGGGGGCGTACTGG